CCCGGCCCCTGCGTTGGGGGGGGGGGGGGGCAGCCCCGGGTCCCCTACAGAGGTGGGGAAGGAGGAAGCCCCGGGGGGCCCATTTGGGTGAGACACTCTCTGGCCACCGCCTGGGAACGGCGACGTCAGCCCGAAAGGAGCGCGTGCTCCCCCCGGGGGGGCCCCGCCAGGGTACCAGCTGGCCCAAAGGGGGCCGTTCCCCACTCCCCCAGCAGAGACCCCAACAGCAGACCGCTAACAGGAAGCGGTTTCCGCCCGGCCCCGTGGCCGGTGTGACAGAGGCTCGGTAGAGCCGCCACTGTTTCCGGATAGCACCGGAAGTAACCGCGTGCACAGGCTGGATGGACCTGCCATCTTTGTTGATGGCAAGGATGCGAGGGCGGGGCTGAGGAAATTCTAACCAATCACTGCTGAGCTTGCGGGTGTCCCCACGCTCCATGCGGCTCCTGTGACACGTGGTCACATGGGCCTTGGGAGAAAGGCTCGGTAGAGCCGCCACTGTTTCCGGATAGCACCGGAAGTAACCGCGTGCACAGGCTGGATGGACCTGCCATCTTTGTTGATGGCAAGGATGCGAGGGCGGGGCTGAGGAAATTCTAACCAATCACTGCTGAGCTTGCGGGTGTCCCCACGCTCCATGCGGCTCCTGTGACACGTGGTCACATGGGCCTTGGGAGAAGCTGTTGTGGCATCAAAGCAGCCCCTGTGTCACACACTACACACCAGGGCTATGTCTACACTGGCAGCTTCTTGTGCAAGGGTTCTCGTGCAAGAGGTCTTGTGCAAGAAAACATCCACACTACCATGTGTGAGCTGTGCTTTTGCGCAAGAGCGCCCATGGCAGTGTGGACACTCTCTTGCGCAAGAAAGCTCTGGTGGCCATTTTAGCCATAAGGGTTTCTTGCACAAGAAACCCCTGCCAAGTGTTCACACTGCCCGCTTGTGCAAGAGCGCCTGCACAAGAGGGCTTACACCTGTTAAAAAAGAGCATAGCTCTTGCACAAGAAGCCCTCTCTTACCACGCCATACTGTAAATTTCCTTGCACAAGAGCGGGCGGGCAGTGTGGACACTGTGGATTCTTGCGCGAGAACAGGCATACTTGCGCAATAGGCTGTGAGTGTAGACGTAGCCCAAGGGTGGGCAACTACAAACAGTGGGTGGCTACATGACTGGTCCTCCTTTACTTCAGTGGGCTGCAGCAACCCAGTGGGCTCCACCTGTGCCCCCCAGCTGCCCCCGTCCCCCATGTGCCTTTCACTGGGGCACCGGAGACCTGCACTTACCTGCTCCTCCCCCTCCTTCCCAGCACTAAACTCCCCAGTTAGCATCACTCAAAGGTCAGGTCACCTGGAAACCAGCAACTTCCCCCTCCCACCCACGG